GAATAAGAAAGGAGATGACCAAAATATTCCAGAACCTCGGACTGAAGATAACGATACAGACAAACCTGAAGAGAGTCGACTTTCTGGACGTGACATTGGACCTGACCACCGGAAAGTACTGCCCTTACCGGAAACCGAACGACAAGCCGATGTACATCAACTGCCAGTCAAACCATCCACCTACAATCATCCAGAACCTACCTGCATCGATCAGCAGAAGACTAACAGATATTTCCAATGATGAAGACGTCTTCATAGATGCGACTCCGATCTACAGTGACGCGCTGAGGAAGAGTGGATACCGGGAGAACGTACAGTATTTTGACGAGCGTAAAACGGACGAGACAAAGAAGAAGAAGAAAAGGAATCGCCCTCGGAACATCATATGGTTCAACCCACCATTTAGCAAGAACGTCGCCACCAACGTTGGACATCGCTTCCTCCAGCTAGTGGCCAAACACTTCCCCAAAGGCTCAAGCCTCAACAAAATCTTCAACCGGAACTCTGTAAAGGTTAGCTACAGTTGCATGCAGAATATGGCCACTATCATCAAGCAACACAATAACACGATTCTACGACCCAAGAAACAAGCTAACGGAGGTGACAACGATACCAGGACTTGTAACTGTCGGGCGAAAGACTCGTGTCCACTGGACGGAGCGTGTCTAACGGAGAGTATCGTATATAAGGCAAGAGTCACCGCAGGTATGGAGAAGAAGGAATATACTGGATTAACAGCAACAACATTCAAACAACGCTACTATAACCACCAATCCTCATTCCGCCACAGACAACACGAGAAGGACACCCGCCTATCGCAGTACGTCTGGACCAAAAAGGATGAAGGGAAGGCATGCAGCATTCAATGGGCGGTACACCGCAGAGCAGCGGCCTACAGCAACAAAAGCAAAAGGTGCAACCTGTGCCTGGCGGAAAAATTGGCAATCGCGCAAGCACCCAAGCACCTCTCTCTAAACAAAAGGAGTGAGCTTGTGTCGAAGTGTCGCCATGAGAATAGGTACTACCTTCGGAACTTTAAACCAGCTACAGCCATCACCTAATTAAGTAAGAGACAACAAGCTCCAGTGGTTGTCACCTTTCACCACTTGCTGTCATTCACGCTTTGCACTGCCGCTATTTACACTTTGCTTTGTGAGGATATAAACCAAAACTGATCCAGATTTCCAATTACTGTTTTCTGATGATCGCTTAGTGCGTGAAACTCTGAGTAAAAACACTTCCTCTGTCCTCCTATTGTTTGAACCAGCTCTACCACTCGGTATTGAGCACTCTCTTGGACAGCCTGGAACCTCTCTGTTGTACATAATTATATGTACGTACGTAATCAATCATTCATTTGTACAAGTGGCACTAGTGCACTCAGTAGCACGCCCGCCAGACTACACCGCAGGCGCCCGACTACTCTCTGCTGACCAACTCCAAATCGCTCTACAGTATCTCAAAGACTCAAACCCTCCAGCAACAAAGACAAAGCAAAACAAAAATTAATAATCTGTCAAGAAAGCAGAGCATGGAAGACGTGTCATGGGCTGCGATAACCATGATAACAGCACGAGCGCTCAGGCGCCAAGGCGTAGCCATTTTTGCACCATGGCAACGCATCTTCGGCAATGAGTGTATGTGTATACAGGCGGGCCAAGGCTGGTTTCCTAGGAATTGACCCCACTCAGCCTGGGTAGATCTACCCGTAAGGGCCGGGTTCCACTGCGGCTCCGCGGCTCCGCGGCACGTAATTTTTTTGGTTTTACCATGGTAACCGCGGCTCGAGCGAGTGCCGCGGAGTGGCGGCCTGCCACGGGCTTTCGCGTCGCGTTTTGTAGCGTGGTGGCTCGCCGCGATCGCGGCTTGCATTGTTCATGATCACGTGAACTGTGAAATGCTGGCGGGAAACTTGAAATCTGCTCTGAAGAAGCAAGACCGGACGACAAACAACAAGATCTGTTGTGTCTTTCACTTGTTTTGTCAGTTTCAATTTCTTTGTCAGTGTTTCTCTTCCTTCCGTTTGCGATGGGGTTCAATTGGTCGAAAGATTTGGAGCGGGCCACGCTGAAACTTTGGCATGTTGTCAGCAGCCGGTTCCAGAAGCAGATGAAGACTGCCAAAGAAAAGAGAGAGTGGCTGAGGAAAAAATTGGTGGAAATGAAGAGAGATGGCAAACTTCTGGCGAGTCACGGAGAAAATGATGTGGAGGACTTGACTGATGACGTTGTGAAGAATAAAATTGACGGACTGAAGAAGCTGGGCAAGAAGATGATGGAGAAGTGGATCGTTCCTATACTGAAAAGGAACAAAAAGGAGCCCCCTACTGGATCAGGAGTGGATGACGACGACCAGCAGCTTGATGGCGATGCGATTGAGGAGGTCGATTGGTCGGAAATCGAAAACAAGTGCAAGTGGCATCTCGTCAGGCTATACTTTGAACTGTTCGGCGATCACCCCACCTGGGGCTGTGGACTTGGAGGAGCTGTCGACACAGCTACTGTTGTTTGTGAGGAATCGCAAGGTGCTACCAAGCTGGTGGTTGCAGCTCCAGTTGGTGAGACCAACTCCACGTCCAGTACATCCTCTGAGGATGATGGCGCAGCACAAGGAGTACGTACAAAACGAAAGCGCCATGAGCTTGTTGATCACGACATGGACAGTGATGATGATGATGATGATGATGATACTCTCCCAGTAACTCCACCACCAAAGGCAGTGAAGGCTGAGCAGAAGGCGACGCCGACAGCAAGTGGAACGTCCCGGGTGGCGTACCAGCAGCAGCAGTTCCTGACGCAGTATGCAGACATCCAAGCCCAACAACAGGAAAAGGAGCATACATTCCAGGTTTGTGCATGTGTTTGTGCATCTTTTGTATGTGTGCCGGTGTGTGTGCGCACATCTGTAATTTTTATGCATGTAGATGTCTGGAATTTTTGATTTCCTGGATATGCAATAATAATTATCAAGAGTGTATAAACAAAAGTATGCAACTGTGGTTATGGGTCAGTGCGCGGCGTGCTGCCTTCATTACGTAACTTGCCTCCATCACGCTCTGAAAGCATGCACTCAAACCCAAAATTGATTGGGCGAGCCCATCCGTTTCCGCTCGATTCGTTCCAGCACTTCCAAGATCTCTAAACTTTTGGCACGTGAACTCCAGTTCCGTACGAAAGTTCATTTCAAACCAGAGGGAAAGTGCGGTGTTTGATTTTGCGCAGTGCGCAGACTGCAGCTGAATGTTGTAATGAAGGCAGCGTGTCGCGCATCTGGCCAATAGAAAAGAGATCACAGTTGCATACTCCTGTTTATGGACTGTTGTGATTATATTTGATTGAATTTGATATACGTGGACTAGTGTAAAGTAAATACTGATTTTGTTATTGTTGCCCCTTTTCTCAATGCTATAGACTTCACTGTTACAACAGACGATGACCCACCAGTCCAACCTGGCAAAGGACCGGAATACTCAGCTGCAGCAAAACCAGACGTTTCAGGCGGGCTTGCTACAGAATATGATGGCATTTCAAGCGAACCTCTTCAAGAATATCCTTCAGGATGATAAAAATGATGAAAAGTAAGTATTAGTCAAATTATATTTGAATGGTTTACGATTGGCACCCCGAGGACTGTTTCTCATCGTAACAATTTCTGTTCGAAGAAATATTTCATTAATGTTCAATGTCAATTTTGATACTTGAAGAAGTATAATAATTATTACTTTGTTTTTGAGCAATCTGTGTGAGGCAAGGAGTTTGTTCATGATGCTTCATCTTCTATATCTAATGTCTCTTCATTTGTTTGTCTGCTTGTATGCCTGCATTTTCCCTGTAGGTGATGGTCTGGTGTGTGAAGATTCAAACACGACAGCGTTTGCACAAGCATCCGTTCAGTCACAGCTTGATGGCGACGATGTGTGCACAGAGTGTAGAGTAATGCCCTAGGTTTTCTTCCTTCACATTACACATTGGCGTGCATGCACAAAATTACTGCTGCTTATTCTATTCTCCTGTTCTTATGTAGTTGTTTTTCAATATTATCGCTGGTATCCCATGTCAAGGACAATGCTCAGTTGAACGTTTAGTCAGGCTGTCCCGGTACTCTTGATACAGCATACCTGCAGTATCACGTGTCTATACTCTATACTACTTGTTCATATTGCTGTTTTATGGTCAATTCAGAAAGGTCATCGGTCATAAATGTGTCGTTACATTACATTGTAGTACCAACTTGGTATGTCTAGCAAAACAATATTGTGATCATCATAGCTCGGCTGAACGGGTCTACCAATGAGTTATTTTTCAGTGTATGCTACAGGCTGTGGACATGAAGCAGTTGGGATTTCACAAATGCAATACATATTTACAGACACACAAGAAGAAATGCATGCAAGCACCAGTACGTTGGAATAGTACTCGGACGCACAGCCAAACTTGCGAGTAACGACCTCGGATACAACCATAAAAAAGCGAGTAATGACACTTCTCATCCTCGGCCACATGCTGTTACTTGAATGTTAAACTGTGTACGCATACACCCGCAAAGGAGCATGTCACATGCCCGGACATGTAGAACCTCCGGCAAATTGTCGGTTCACAGAAAACACATTCGTGTCAGCATCAAAGCTAGCAGCACTCACTAGGCTGAATGGGTCAAACACAAAGCGGGAAAAAATGAAACAATACCCAAATCGGGTGCATGAAAAAGAGGAGAGGGAATTGGAGAATTACAGAAACCCATTTGTTTTTTGCCCGCAATTTAGTGGTAAAAAGAAATCCTACATTATCTACCGGTACACACATACAAAGGAAGGTAGGACCACCAAGCTTTCTCCAATTTTAGGAACAGAAACGAGAAAGGAAGAAAATATTTACTAGTACACATTCCGGTACATGTAATTGTACATCTGAGTGTGTGCCCAGCGAGAGCAACGATGTTCCATGATGCACGGTGACTTCAGCTGGTCTATAGTTCCCAGACTCTCTTCATTCCTACTAGTACTAAACCTGATGCAAGGGGAAATTGGCATGTGTGTACGCAGCAATGGCGTTGCGGACACCATCACCACCTGCCTCTCTCTCCGCATTCGCATGCTCATCCTGTCCAGGATGGTGTGCAGCGTACTGCGCTGGATCTATCGTCCACTGCTGCTCAAACGGACAGCTCCAGCGCTCGCACAAGTTATGCAGCGAGCACGCAACCACAGCAACATCAGCAGCGAATCTAGGATTCCTGATGCTGCTATGCACCAAGATGCGGAACCGGCCTTTCAGTCTCCCAAAAGCTTGTTCCACTACTCTGCGGGTGCGAATGAGGCGGTAGTTAAATGACTGCTGCTGAGGAGCGACAGGGGTAGAGAAGCATTTCATCGTGAACGTGTTGAGGGCAAAAGCGGAATCAGCTACAAGGTATGGCTGGATCGCCATGCCTCCGATTGGCAACGGATCGCTGACCAACCACACCTTGTCCACTATCTTTTGCCTCAGTGCAGATGCTGCAAAGGTTGCTGCGTCTCCAACAGAGCCAGGTCTGCCACAGTTCACGTTGATGAAGATGCCTCTGGCGTCAACAGTTCCGAGAATCATTATGGCTGGATATTTTTTGTAGCACCAATAAACATCGCCATGGGCTACAGGCTTCTCAATCTCCATGAAAGTGCCGTCGATCGCTCCCCCACAGTAGGGTAGCCCACACAAGTCTTGGAAATCCGCCATCACTCTCGTTAACTCTGGCCCTTGGGGGAATGCAATGGTCTTTGGTACCAACTCCGTTACAAACACATTGACAGTGTCGTGCACAATGTGGACGGCAGTGGTTTTTCCCACTCCGTACAACAATGCAAGCTGGGCATAGGAGGGAGCATGGGCAAACCAATGCAGTGTAATTGCAAGACGTTTGCTCGACGACACACTCTTCCTCATGTGCGTGTCCTGCCTGGTCAGAGAGTTCCCCACAAGAACGTGGAGTCTCCAAAACGCCTCGCGTCCCATGCGAAAGTTGTGTTTGTACTGGCTCTCCTCCCAATCAGCAAATCCACGTGCAGTCATTGTTGGCAGACATTGCAAGAATTGACTCTGCCAAATACCAGGGCCGCGCAGGGCACACCAAAATCTCCTGCGGGCACGTCCTCGTCTCCAAAAATCCTTGAACATAGGCATACTCAGCAGTGCCATCCACAAAAAGCTAGTGTCAGGGATCGATCGGGTTTTGTGCATGCTGCTGCAATCTACAAGTTCTGCTTCGTCGCTTCCACCTTTCAAAATAATTTCTGTGAATAGAGCAAGAGCTTGAAACGACAGCATGACAGCAAGAACCTTTTTTCTCCTAGGCCAACACGCCATCGTGACAGTCACAGCACCACGAGCAACACCAACAACTACAATCCTGAAGAAAACAACACTACAAAGAAGCTCGAACAAACTGCCAGAACAAGCTAGCTAGCTAGCTAGCTGTGGGTAAAGTTTGGAGTTCGAACGTTCGCGCGAAAATAATAATGATCACGCGACTGCGCCATGCATGGTTTCCATGACCACCTGCCCAGAAACTCGAGCCGCATGCCGCGGAACCTCGCGTGACGATTGTAGTGTGGAACCGAGCGGCTTCGCGTCAGCATGCGCTTCTGGCTCACGCAACGCGGACGCGAGCCGCAGTGGAACCCGGCCCTAACCGCCATCAAGAGTAGAATGTCTGATCTACATGAAAACCTTTTGCCGCCATGCATTCACGATCACCATGATCACCGATCGGAGCCGCCGAAGGTAATCCGAAGGAGCACGGACCGGTCGTACTTGCACACCACTGCCACCACTTGAGATACTGCAGTCAATGATGTCATATACAATAATTATTTTTTACAATTTCTTTATTTACAATGGAAAATTATTTGTTACTAGTGTACAGACTGCCAGTGCAGTAGGGGAGACTTTTATGGCGGAAACAGTTTGCTGACTACAGCATTTGGCTATACATGTACATGTACATTGTACTTATACATGTAACGCCATTAACGGTACATAAAATACTAATACATGTACAGTCAACTTCGCTTATAACGACACTCGGTGGGGCACCAAAAAGGTGTCCTTATTCGCGAAGTGTCGTTTTACCCGAAGTCTCATTATATGTATTACAGTGGGATGGGACTTTGCTCTGGGCATGGATATTCTGTCGCTATTCGCGAATTGTCGTTATATCCGCAGTCGTTATTAGCGAAGTTGACTGTACATAATTGTACGTGTATGATGGGTCTATCGTCCCCAAAAATGCTGGAAATGGTAGTCAACTACTTAGTACATATACATACTGGTATGTGCAGCATTGGCTGGATTTTTCCGCGACGATAGGAGCAATACTATAGTGTGGTGTAGTCACAAGCACAGTCATGCACACGTAGGTTGCTCCCCCCCCCCCCCCAGTACACCACACGCAGATGCACGCACATACATGCACATGAGTGACTGTACAAGCACACACCATGGACCATGCACACTCGTACGGGCAGCAGCGATATCGATGCGGCCACCGGCTCGAGGAAGCGGCAGCCAACACTTTCATTCAGCTCTTACCACACATATACAACATATACAGTCGTTAATCGTGTGCACACATCTCACCCGCCAAACAGCACGCACTCTAGAAAACGATATTGTCAACACACATGCATGAAGTATAATTACACGTAAAAAGAAGGCATATCTGTCATCAGCATACACGTCTCGAGAATACAATAAAATATTTGGAAAAGCGAAGAAAGGTTTCTTGAAAAACGGTAAACCTATGATGTGTACCTACTGAATGCAATGCTGTGTCGATGAACACTATGAATATAAAAATGACGTCATTCTCTTTCCAGAATCACGTCATGGAGCTCAAGAAGGAAATCTCTGCGAACAGAGGGTGTGCCAGCACGAAGCATGGATAAAGACAACATGTAGAAAGGGAGAGTATCTGCTATCATGAGGGGACGGACGGAGATGGAGGAGAATGATTATAAAGGCAATAGGCGTGCACCTGCATGCATGCATGTAAATGTACAGCATGTAAATACAGAAGTGATAGAGAAAGGAGGGTAGTCGCCATGTAGCCTATTCTAGGGAGATGGAGACAGAGACGAATATGGTTAGATTTCGAACCGAGCAACTCCATAAGGGGCTCTCTGGCTCTGATTGATAACATCGATATTCTGTAAAAAAAAAAGAAGAAGAAAAGAACTCGCCATTAGCAGAGAGTGAACGATGGGAGTATCGGGCACTTGCACATCGTCAAGTATAACAATTCCGATGGGTGGAAGTTTTCAGCCATATTTCTTGCAGACACCTTACAGGAACACTTCTGACGCAGAGCCTTTGCTGGAACTTTCACCGGTGTTGTACGCCCCCTGGAAACGTGCTGATACCTTGATCACTATCAAAGCGGCGACGACGCCAACGACGATCGAGCCGACGATACACCCCGCGATGACGCCTGCCAAGAGGGCGGTGTTGCTGTTGTTTGCGGGCTCTTCGTCGTCTTCCTCGCCTTCCACTTCATTAGAGTCTCCGCCGCCCTTGGCAGTGGTGGTCGAAGGCTCCACAGAGCCTGATGGAGTGGGCTCTACTGAATCTTTGGTATTGGGCTCGGCAGGCGTCGCCTTGGGAGTCTCGGCTTCCGCAGTAGTTGACGTTCGGCTTTCAGGCTTGGTTGGGGCTGGTTTCGTACGTGCATCCGTCTCCACGACATTTTGCCCCTGGGGGGTCGTTGTGGCGGCCTCATCCGTTGGCATTGGCTCATCGGTAGCGGTTGTGACCGATGCTGCCACTGTTGTGGGGTCGGGACCACCGGGTGCTCCACCGTCGGGACTGGGTGAACCAGCATCGGGACTATCGGTTACCTGGCCATCAGTACCAGGTGCGCCAGCATCGGTACCAGGTGCGCCAGCATCGGTACCAGGTGCGCCAGCATCAGGACCATTGGTTACTCCACCATTGGGACCATTGGTCACTCCAGCGTCTGGACCAGTTGGTCCTTGTTCATCTGGGCCCCCGGGTGCTTGTCCACCGCCACCAGTGGTCGAGCAAACACCGTACACACGCTCCACACGGCCATCACCGGATGTACACGTGAGCTTGGTGGTGACTTCATTGCCTACTGCATTTTCTCCTGAGCCGCTGCTCTCGCGGAACTCCGCACAGTCCTCATCATCCAGCATTGACTCGGTGCATGTGCATGACCGACAGTCCACATCGGCTGCACGAGAAACTGCAGGAAAACGAAACAGAAAATGGGAACATAGAAATTAAATATCTGCTGGATATGTATTTCTAAGAAGAGTTTTGTTTGGGGGGGGGGGGGGGGGAGGGGAAGGGGGGATGGCAGTTCAGGAGTTTAAGAGCAATGTCGAAATAGCAGAAGGGTGTGCGAAAGGTTTTGCATGGCACACAGTCTCCTACGCTAGCTGCCGTAAATATGAGGCGGTAAGCCGGCAGAACTTTTGTAAATTTCTCGCATTCATCGGATGCAATCAAATTGACAATTTTTTTAATTTTTTTTACACCCGATACGATTTCAGTCCGCCCAACGAAGTAGCAAGACCTTCTGAGGGTTGGTAGCAGTAAGTAGATTGAATAGTGAATATTTCTATCCCTCCCAAATGAATGTCATTCCCCCAGGCCTAGTGCTCAATATGCAAAAATACACAGGGCATAGACACACGGTAGAAGATGAACAGTTTCAAAATTGCTCATCCGTTTAAAACTGAACACTGCAATTGAGTAGGGTGCTCCATGGCTTGCTCGAAGACTGCTCAATGGCCCAATTGAGACGAGCCTTGCGCACTTTCATCAGGAAACTCAGAGTCACAGCACACCTTCCTCTCTCCACATACTGGGTGAAGAATAGGGGTGAAACGATTACACTTTTAGACTACCGAATTACCGCAACCTTTATCGATCGGTTATCTTTCGGCGGCTGCGAAATGGTGCAAGGCGCAAACTTGAGTGGCCCGACTGGATTTCATTGAGCAGCACTGCAATACATTTGTTTTATCCAGGATACAGTGTACACTAAACTCCTTCACTGTAGCATGCATAGATGCAAGGTGGGCCATGCCTGACATAAGCATAGCACGCTGCAAATTAACCCTATACGGACGGGCCATACATCCACAGGTGATCGAAAAATTCTAAAACTTGAAACTTTCGCGATTTGGTCAATTCTCAGTTTTCCTGAGAAGACAAGCCTGTGGGTCAAGGTGAAAACTGAGCTGTCGTCTCAAACAACCCCGAAGCGATAAAAAAGCGGCTTGTGAGTTAGGGCACTTGCAAGTTTGATCACGGCCAATTTTCTCTCAGGGCACAATGCACGACTCAACAGCCTGGATTTTCAAGCTGTTGGCTGATATACCCTCCTTCAAATTCAAACTAAGACTCTCGCGAGTGGCCGCAGAAATGAAGCTTCTCACGAACAAGGAGAGTTAAAAGGAGGATGGAAGTCAAACACGCCCCGCACTGAAACGGCTCCGCTGGCTTGAAGCGCGGTTCCAGCGTATCCTATGGAATTCGGTTTGGGTTAAAGATAATTCCAGAATTCCACGCGTTCCACAAATCCCAGGATAACAACAATTGTGCAAGGGAAACCTACGTTAATATAAGTCCAATTCAAGGTGGTATTTCAGAGGGTGCAGCTAGGCACCGGGCAAATATGCTCGAAAAATCACCCATCATGCTTTCTCGCAATTCTTTCAAACAAGCCGATAATGCCTGAAACCATGCCGATAATTCCCAGAAACTCTCACAAATTTTCGCTTGAAATCCAGGTCTTTCTTCGCATCCATCACAAAAAGATGCATTCTCAAACCTAAAGGAAACAAAAAAAGATTCTTTTTCTGGCTCTGGCAAGTTCAGACAGCTTTGCTGGTTTTAGCTTGTCCAGCAGAGAAACCACCTTCTTGCTTTCCTCATCCCTTTCACTTTCAGCCTCCTCCTCATCCGCACTATCTACTCGACAAACGTCAGTAACCAGCCGATTATGCCCGCGAAATCACCGATTATGCTCGTGTGATTTTTGCACCCAAAATGCTCGATTTAGTGCCGGCATATTTGCCGGGTCCCTAGGTGCAGCCTAAAGTTACGATTTTACCCTTTCTCAGTAGCACAAACACAACGTGTCTGCCAGCCTTTTCGCCATGACCTTTGCCGAACTAGTTCATGATAATCCGAGCACAGGACGAATTTTTTTGCGGAACAATTTGTTTATAGCACGCACGATCAACATAGAATAATCCCAGAGCACACAAGAGCACTCACACACCCAACCACACACAAACGAAAGTACAAACAGGTGCACGGTTTGTACGCCTGGCTGTATCCATAACTATAGTACGTGCCGTGCACTGGATAACACGTTAATTTCAGTGGAATTTTAATTATTTCGGTAACTAACTTTGGTAGAGAAACCAGGAACCTAAATTTAGATTACACCTAAAAGGCGCGAGAGTATGCACTGTATGTGAAGGGTAGGCTGGTCACCTAATTCCAGTCGATAATTTGAGAACCCTTATGCGAAACATCGCTAGCACGAGCAGTAGGCAGCGAAAGCAGTACACTCTGAGGAGCGGAGAAAACCGTGTGCAGGTGGACTTTGGAGTGGGGAATACGAGTGCGACGTCGAGTATGTTGAGGAAGACTGTGTGCAGCAGTGTATACTGTATATCTGAAAGTACAGGTGGAGTGTGTGATGGAGAGGACGTGGAGTGCCAACTTCTTCGGCCATCTACAGATGTTGACCGTGTTTCGCTGGCGGTTCTCCAGTGGTGCTCGAACCAGGAGGTATTTCGGACACCCAGCTCAGCTGCCTATAGAAACTTTGGATGTGGCCGAGTACCTGTCAGCTCATGCTATACAACCCTAGACAGAGGAACTGACCCGGAAAGGATGAACCAAGGGACATCTCAACTGTGTGCAAAAATGACAATCCCATTGCTGTACATAGAATTTCACCATTTCAACAGTGCTGCATATAATACCATTCTAGCAACACTTAGACATGTCAGATCAGTCCAAAACTTTCAGACAGCGAACATTAGGTGTGTTTGATCATTTTTGAACAAAAAACTGAAAATCGAATTTTTGGTCTGTGGTCATATTTTAGCGTGCTCTGGCTCACATTGTATTGTGTTGCGCAACTTCCTCTTGTTTTTCTCGACGTCTAGGCTTGGATTTCTGGAGCACGAAATGCTCACATTCAACTGTAAAAGCATGGTGTGGTGTGGAGCATGACGAGCAAGGTCATTCTTCCATTGTGTGTGACAATAACACAGCAAGGCAGCAATATCAACGGACCATGTGTACATACATATGGTGACACACACACACACACGACCATGCGCACACCCAGGAAGACGTCCTTTCCAGGCCCGCGCATGTACTGGCGGACAAGAACCCGGCGCGTCACTCTGCAGAGTGACACTAATGAGTTGGCAGCCTCTGCAGCAGCAGCAGCATTGGTGAAAAGAGCACCTGTTGCTTCATGTCTATGCCAGCTACCAGCCCAGTCACCCGCTGGTCCTATACATAACTCACTAGGCAATATGGTTGCCATCATACTAATGAGTTAAGCCCAAGTGAATTTAGTTCTCCATTGTTAGATACTGATATTCCCTACTTGGAAGAAAGCTGATTCCACAGATGCAATAAGGAGCCTCTTTCACGTGATCAGCAGATACCACAGATGCAGAAAGGAGCCTCTGCCACGACACCAAGAGACACTTTCTCCGTCCACCGCCAGCTGGGTGTTCCATTTCAGACAGCACTCCAACACTCTACCACACTAGCACACACACACACACGCCTGGCATCCTAGGGAAAACTTTAGTCATTTTCTGCTCTGCTGGGGAAAGCGACTATGACTGAATCCTTTTCAATGGCTAAAACAACCTAGAACTAACTTGTCATGTCAAATGGCCATGTGCGTTATTCAAACTAAGCTCAATTGACCACCAATGGGCGAGACAAGTGCTCTGCATCCAGAATTAAGTAGTTCAGCACTAATACACACAGGTGAATGGCTGTCTGTAGTGTTTACTGACAACACGGTCCGCTTGCAAACCGTGATAAAATAATTCCCTTGAGTTCAGGTGACTTTGTCGCCCTGGCTAACTTCAACTGGCTGCATCCCTATCTTAGATGCCTGTCACACGAAATATTCCGGCACACCGTTGAAATAGCTAGATGCTAATATTCCCTACTTGGAAGAAAGCTGATCCCACAGACGGATTTCGTCATGATACTGCCGTGATTGCTGCTGGGGTGATGAGTAAGATCCCCTGAGCACGCTTTCACTGCCAAAATCTTTTGTAGCCAGCGTTAGCGGCACAGAACAAAGCTTTAAAGTCACCATAATATTTTGCCAGGGGCATGAACTACACACGCCATTTCGACCGCACAGTCGGATAAGGGTTAAACAAATCAGCCCCAAACCCAGCTCTCTTATCCAGGTGGTCCCTCCACACATCCCTCCATACATATTTTTCTCCAGCCACTATTTATCGTGGTCTACTGTCGTGGACATGGAAAGTGGACATGGAAATCCGGTCGTTGGTCAAGCGCACAGATCAGCAAAGTGAGCTGCACCGTTTTGTACGCACTGAGGACGCCACGGCCGGTCATTCAACTGGATTTCCATGACCAGGACAGCACATTTGTAGAGCTGCCATAGTACAAATACGTAACGTTCACACAAAAGAGAATGGTTTCGTGATATTCACTGATAATGATGATAATTGTGCAGAGGATGTCTGGTAGGACGTGCGCGTGACTGTACACCAATCTATGTATTGCTGCTAGAATCTAGCTGTCCAGGAAAACATGCATGTGCAATTGCACATCTAGCTAGAGATCTATGAACTAGTGCAGCCAGTGTAGGGAAGTGACAAACTACCTGGCCCCCCATGTGTGCACTCGCCAGGCGTTTGTCCATCCCTGACTGATTTCAAAGTCCATGACACTGAGCATTGATCGCTACCCGCACGCAAAGAAAGGCGAGGTCGTTTCAGATTCACTGCGTCATGCACAGGTTTCCACGCTGGCCACAGCCATCACTGCATCAGGCAAGGCGCTCCGCGGATCCGTGCTAATCATGATGAATGCACCAGGCGAAGATCCGACACTGGTTGGTTCCAGGCTTCCTGATCCTTTCAGTGCATGACAAACGACACGCTAAGACTAAGAGAACTACCAGTAACATTTTGCGTCTTCGCAGTCAAACTCAAAGCAAGCAGTCACACTCAGCCGCCAAGAACGAAGCGAGCACCAGAGTCGTCAGTACCGCCGGTATTATTATTTTTTATGATAAATTCTACCTGAGTATGAGGGACAGCAGAAAATAATCTCCCGCTGGATATAATGGCCAGTGTCAGCCGGCACTTCAACAGGCCATTGCGACACTTCAATCAAAATAACAACTCATGTCGTCTCACTGGAAAACCTCTAATCACCCCCGAACGACAGCCCTGCACGAAGTCAAAGGCGCACGCCACACAATGGAAGATGGCTAGCGGAATGCAGATGTCCCCAAGACTTCCCACAGGTCACAGCCAGTGGCGTGGGCAAGCGCAGCCTCACCTCTTTTTCATTCTCACATAGCACAGACTCAGTACAGGATGAGGTATACCCAGGATGAAATAGCTCAGGGAAAGTCTACGATCCACAACCAATGCCTGGCCTGAACACAGTGCTGTTATTGTCAACGCTCTAGATGGCACGCAAGAATCGACTCCACCAACAAAGGCCATCCCACGAAACGTACTACTACTTGCAGGAACAAGGACACGGCGCGGGGATTCGCTCGGAGAGTACTGTTGTTCTCGCGAATGTTGAAGGCATTATTATTAGCGGAAGCCTTTCAGCCGGCGGCAAGCGATAATTTAGTTTGCAAGACTGGATCTTCTACTTCTAGGTGCCAGGCCGTCGGTTCAAATTCGTGGGTGGCATGAAGTCTTTACCGATGCCGACCGCGGCGACTGACATTCGTACTCAAGCGAATTCTCTCCTTTTCTCATCCAATTTTGGCAAATAGTCGGGCACAGCAGGATAGAATTATTTATCTTCATCCACAGTCAACACATTGGTATGCGGAGAAGGAACCATGAACTGAGACAATTGTAACGGAATGACAGAACAATGCCTTGTTCAAGGCCTTGTTCAATCTAATGATTCGTCTATCCAGCAGGTTTTAGGGTGCTGTGCGCGAAAAGCGTTCTTTTTTCCTGCAGCCAGAAACATTCAAGGCAGTGCACATCGCACTGACTCTTGCCCCGGGTCGAGCTTATACTGGGCAGGAAGCGCTTTGACAAGAATACCGCGCACCTCGTAAAATATACACTACAGGGACAAAACGTTACGAAGGAAACCATTCAGGACCATCGAGCTTACCGTGAACTGCTTCCAGACTCAGCAACAGGAGAAGACACAACACACTGCTTGTTCGCTCCATCTTTCGGCTAGCTTTGCGTGGGAAGCGCTTTACAGGACAACAGGACCCTTCGATTCTCAGTGTTAAATGCTCGGCACTAGAAATGTCGTACCTCCTCTTCAACTTCAACTAAACTTACAGGTCACCACCAACAAACCACTTTCCCCACTCCTCGCAGAACTATTCTACTCCGCAACGCTAATCGAGACTGCGTGGAAAAGAATAATGGCAACGCTGTGTGACTGAGCGCTTGAAGTGTACGGAACGCGCTCTTGAATACCAAGTGACGCGCATACGATGTTCAGTCGTGCTATCATCTGTGCATCCTTTCACTACTAGTATCCTATGAAATCGGTGCGGTGCATGCATGCAGTGCGGATGGATTGGTATTACAGTACAGTAGACTGCCACGTATACCAGGAATGCTCGAGATCTCTCCCACGTCACGCGCGCACAGCCTGTGCATGTATGATTGTAGGGGCTCGCACAACTTAGTACTATGCCAGTAATGGCAGTATGAGTCTGACTACAATTATTATTATTAGGCCGAGTAAAAAAAATTACTAGATGATCGTCCTTTTTTTTGGAAAAATCGGGGAGGGCGGGAGGATTTTATTTTTATTTTTTTACTTTTTACCCTCTCATGCACACAGTGTACACAACAACATCAAGGTTTTTTTTCTCTTTTTTTCTTTTTTTTTCTTTTTTTCTTTTTCTTTCTTCAGCAGATCGATACTGACGTTGTGATATACTAGTAGTATGTGGTCCATATAGTAAAGAAAGTATTAAACAAAGCGTGCACATGTTTCCTGCATCCGCGATCGGTAAAAAACCAACGATTTCGGCAAAAACTCACGATTTAAAAAATAAAATATTTCTTGGGGCGCTGACAAAAACTGGGGCGGACGGGGACGATCATCTAGCTTTTTTTTTTACTTGGCCTTATGTATGACTTTTTTAGTGTTTGGTTACAGACAGTACGTCTTTGGGTATGAATGACTCTGTGGCAGCACGGCTGTTCGCGCACGGACATCTAACAATATGGAGTCGTTCGGTGCGATTTACGTAACGCGGTACAAACCTCCTGAATACGATTGGAGTTTGCGTTTTGGGATGAAACTCATGTCACTCTCCGTGTGGTTCCACGATTTCGCAAGTCAAACCAGGATTTATTATTTGAAAGCGCTCGAGCGAGATACTCAATATCCAGACAATTTGAGAGAGAAGGAAGGTAAAAGGAACTCCTGCCGTGGTCAACCAGCATCCTGACCTTTTCGAACCTCTCCAAGCTGTCCCTGGTAGTCTGGATATTGACGCACGCACTGATTTTCAGCTTCTCCTCGCCGGGATCACGGGTGAAACTTTCAAATTTGCCGATATGCACTCGAACAAACGCACAATTGGATCTACATCACAATTTCGGGGCTATCTGTGTGCTTGCTGCCTTTTTCAGCAATACCCCACATGTCTACTGGGCAGTTTCCACCAGGCCTCGGCCTCCTGGACTCAACAGCGACTCCAGCGCCATGCCATCTGTCCCCTAAATCGCATGAAAAGGTAGCTCAGCATCGAACGCACGGGACCTGAAGTTTGTGCACGGGACGTGATAAAACTTGGTGAAGATAGCCAGAAGATAGTCCTCTACCTGGGAAAACTGAAAGCTAGACTGGGAAAACTCCTGAAAGGGCTTCTTGACGCAGGCATGTCAACGATGAATCAAGGAACGAGCGAGAAAGAAGGCTTGACTTGTGCAACGCGGAACAAACTGTTCCTGAGACGAAGTTGGCCATGTGAGGTACCAGCGGAAAGCTAGTTTCAAGAGGAACACGGAATACCTGTTTTCCGGGTAAACCTGGCCTGGTAGCTTTCTAAATCGAGCGAAAACCACAGCGAAATCGGCTGCTGAGAATTTGAAAATTCAAATTTCCTTGCCGATCCAGCCCAATCGAGACTTTTGGCTGCCATCTTGTTAAATGTCCAAATTTCGCGAAAAAAAACAGCCGTGGCAGGGTGCTGCCCAGTGCAGCCCTTGCTGACTCCGCAGAGTCCGCATTGTCTGAAGCCTCGAAGGCTGGTCCGCATGTTCAGGATTGGCTAGTACTTTTTTTTAGTAGTGATGGCAGCTCGCGCAGCGGGGCCCTTGTCTGCCAGGCCTGGGCTTGGGTCGAGAACACGTCGCGTACACGTAGCTAGACCAGCTGTGACGCGATCGATGCCGACGAACTCCCGAGTCCCGATCCCACGACACTCGACAGTGCAGTGACGGCACCGCGCAATGCAAAAAGCCATAATCACTTACGAGTATCAGACCAGTCGAGCAGGTGGATCTGTCCAAACAGTTGCGTGCCGGGATTTCGTCCGCCCGGACGCGGGACTGAAATGCAGTGCGATGACGTATTCATGTCTGCCACCGAGTCCTGCCAGATACGAGGTCAATGCTTAGCTTGCGCCAAGTTGCGGTGATGTGGTTCTTCCGTCGATAGACGATAGTTCTGACGCCGAGAGAACTCCGCACTATGATTTGTGTTTGTTTTGCACAGAGCCAGGAATATATCCTCCGCCAGTCACCACATACATTGTACATGTATGATGTAGCCTATTATTAGTTACATGTATGTACAATGCTGTCTGGCATCGTGGCCTCCTTGCCAAGCTACATATTGTCTTTGGTGTGTCTGGCCCTGCTCTGTCCTGGCTGGAGTCCTATCTGAGTAGCCGATCACAGTTTGTTTCTGCCCTCTCCATCAACTCTGATCCTCTACCAGTGTCTTCTGGAGTTCCCCAAGGCTCCATACTTGGACCTCTTTTGTTCGTAGCATACGTAAATGATTTACCCTCTATAGACCCAGGTGTCTCGTTATTTGCTGATGATACAACCCTACTGTCAGCATCCTCGTCCTCAGCGGCTCTTGTACCTCGAGTGTCGGCTCAGATATGCAGTGTCCTACGCTGGATGCAAACATGGCGACTTAGACCCAATCTGACTAAAACCGAAATAATGTTCCTTCCCCCAATCTCATCCATGTCACTTTTACACCATCCTGATTTCCCAGAACCCATAAAGGTTGTTTCCAACCATAAACACCTGGGAATAATGCTTGATGATCGTCTCTCTTGGTCTTTCCATATTGATGCTCTTTGCAGCCGTTCAAGCTCTGCCCTAGGTGTTATACGTCCCCATTGTTTCCATCTTCCTTTCAAATGTAAAATTTTGTTTTACAAACTGTACATCCTGCCTCTTTTCATGTACGCTGCTGTTAGCTGGTGTGGCTTGTCCTCGGTTCTCGCTGAGCATCTCGAAATCCACCATAGAAAACTTCTTCGTATCCTGTTTAGTCTACCCCCTCTCTACCCTTCTGCTTCCCTGTATATCCTTGCAAATGCTTGCCCACTGTCGACCCACCGTCAAAAATTAATTTGCACTTTTGCTCACAAATTTAAACTAGCTCTACATCCTCCTCATCTTAACGTGTATAACTGGTTCCGAATCACAGATGGCTCCCAGACAAGATGCTCTGTTGCCCTCCCCTTGGCTAAAACGTCCTCCCTTGTACGCTCTCCACTCTTTGTTGCTTACTCTGCTTGGCTTGCGCTGCCCGCTGCTACGCGCAATGCCAGTACCCTGGACGCATTTAAATCTGCTCACTAGATTCACCATCACCTGTCCCTCCCATGCTTCTCCGTCTTGACCATTACTTTTCTTCTTTTATTCACCATGGTTGGTTAACACCCACATCTCCCGTACTGGCTGATTTTCTTCTCATGCCATGAGGTGTTGTCTATAATAATAATAATAATAATAATACATAGCAGTGTATGTACAATATACATGTACATGCACAAAGATGCGGTTTATGGGGTTATACATGTACGTGCAGGGCACGCCCGCATGTTGAATAAACGTATCCCCTCTTCCCTGAATTACTTGTGAGGTCTTGTATATTCGACACTGAACAAATATGGACGAAGTGGTGGCTCGCCGATGTGAATGTATTTGCTTGATGTGTTCCTAAACACGTCAGGTGATGCGTCCGGCTAGCTAGTATTTTTTTGTACATGCACATACATGTACTGATAAAACTAATGAATGTGATCTAGGGCATCGCCGAGTATACATGTACATGTACAAGCAAATCACTTTTGTAGACTCCCATCTTTATCACGAAGCGCCGTTTTCGTTGCTTTTCACAATCCTTGTACAGCGACAATGCACCGTAACTGGCTGAGCGCGTCTGTACTGCGGGGCACAGGCACAGCTAGCTGCGTTGGGAATGGGAGTGCGAGAGGGAGCAGAGCCTGCCAGAGGTCGTTTGACAGGGAGTGGACTGCAAAAGGCCGCAGTTCCAGATAGTGAACCCCCTCCAGTCTAAATCAGTTGAAATCTGTCAGATTCTGCCAGTCCGGGCAGTCTTGTGGTGACGGGAGCCTCGCGTGGGCGTCGAGATAATGCACACAAGCAGCATACATTGTATAAACGTTCACAGACTCAGGTTACATCATGTACTACATGTGAGTACGAGTACATTGCCATTATGAACCGGCCTCAGTAACAATGTACATGTAGTACTAGTAGGCGTTGGCGGGTACTGCAGGCGGAATTTGGTGCTTGTTCTGGCATGGTTTATGCACGTTCGGTATGTGTAATTATTAATTACTGTGAAACTCTCCTCCTCCATGCGCTCTAAAGCCGACCATTGCTACCCTCGGTAGCCATTACTCACAGTCACACCAATAAGTAATTAGTTCAAACAACGAAGGGGTCATGTCAGTGCCCTGGGTTCTAGGAAAGTTTAATAGCAGGTGAGAACCTGTACACTGTACATGTACAATGGATATTCGTTCAATCTTTTTATTTCTTTTTCCATGATGATCAGTTGCGTACAATTATGTACAATGTACAATGTACAATGTACATGTACATTGTATTTACACGCTCGTAGACTGTAGACTGAATCTGTGCATTATCGAGCCATGCAAAATGTTAGCAGCTTGTGTGATTGGACGAATACAGTTTCTCACCTGCTACATGTACAGTACATGTACATGCATCTTTCCTAGAACCCTGGCCTGGGCTCTGCGTGCTGCTTGGAGAGTATTCGTGTACGTTCTCAGTGTTACACCTTGCCTAGTTTCTTGCGCCCATAATACATGTACATGTATACCTTATAAATATTACACTGTACATGTACTAGTAATTTTGCTATGTCGATTACAATATCCAGTACCAGGTATCACCTTCTCTGAAGAGCCTT